TTTTGTGATATGGAGACTGAACCCAGGGCCTTTGAACTGAGCTATATCCCCAGCATCCAGTAAACACTTTTTAAAATTCGAAGACAGGGTCATGCCAATTAGCACAGGTAAGGCTTGAACTTGCAACTTCCTGAGTCAGCTTCCAGGAGCACTGGGATCACAGGTGTGCACCATCACACCCAGTTTCCTTCACCATCTTTTTTACAACAAAGATGACAAGAGAAAGATGAGTTACGGTCAACGTTTGTGACGTGGAGAGGTGGAGGAGGCGAGATTCAGAAGGAAATCCTCCTGATCCATGTGGCTATGCCTTTCTCAGAGAAATGAGCTTCTGACCACACGGCTCCCACCATGGTGGAATATTTGGCAGCACCTGTGTGTACAGAGCCATTTCCAAGCGGCAGCATTAGAATCTCATAGAAGAACGTCATGGTCAAACCGAGTGTTGGTTTTAGACCCCAAGAGCTGACTTCTACCTGTGAGGCTGAAGCCTCAGTTTATCACCTGGGGACGAGGAGATGTTTCCAGAAGTCCAGGGCGGAGCCGGTCCTCACTGCCTGAGCAGTCAGGAGTCAGGCTGTTTATAGGCTTTCAATGGCCAAACTCGCCGGGCCAGGTGTGAAATCCCACCCACACTGAACCTTTTGATCTGGGAAAGTTCCAGTTAATCCCTTGAAATGTCACTCCGAAAACCTCTTTTCTCCCCCAAGAAGACAGATATCTAGAGAGGTGAAATGACTCACCGGAGGCCACCAGCTACACAGGGACAGCTCCAGAGCCTGTGAGCAGGGCTCTGTCACCCTGCTCCGCTTGTTCTCCCCGGTGTTAGCGTGGGTCACACCTGGGCAAGCGGGGAGCCACAGGGAGGATGCGTGAAGACACCAATGCTCTACAGCCCCGTCCTTGTGCCGGATGTGGTCACAGGCAGAAGGAGAAAGTAATGGAAGAGGGAGGGTGCAGGGCAAGCCTGGCTATTTCACAGGATCACCCATAGGAGGGACTTTACTGGCTAAAGCAAGAGCTCACTTGGCTTCCTGACCATCCTTGGCGGGATCAAGGGCCTTGTCTGAAACTTCTTCGGGGCAGAAATACTGAGGGCGAGCACATTCATCCAGCGCCCAAATGTCTAAGCACCTCTCAGCTGAGCTCTTCATAGAAATGTCAGAAGATGTAGGCTCAAGTGGCTTCATTCCCATTCCGCAAGAGAAGACTAAGACTGATATTAACTAGCTTGTCCAAAGTTACACAGTGACCGAATGACAAAATGAGACTGGAACCCAGGCCATCAGATCTAAAACCTAAGCTGGAATCAATGTGGAATGTCACTGGTCTTTCGAGAAATGTAAACTGAGACAACAGTGGGATTCCACCTCACTCCAGGAAGAATGGCTGTCATCAAGAAACCAATCAATAACAAGTGCTGGTGAGGTTGTGGGGAGAAAGTAAGCCTTCTCCATGGCTGCTGGGAGTGTAAGCTGGTACAACTACTATGGAAATCAGTCTGAAGGTTCCTCCAGAAAGTAAACTTAGAGTCTCCATTTGACTCAGGTATGCCCCTCTTAGGTAAATCTTTCTGAAACATTTAAAAACACCATGCCAGGTTTTTTTCCCCCGCCACAGTGATATGTGCATAGCTATATTTATAGCACCACAACTTTTATACAATGCATGCACCTTGAGACCATACTTTAAAGTGAAGCAAATATTAAATATTGTATTGTTTCTCTCATGTGAGAAACCCAAAGAATAAACAAGGAGCAAAATGGAGGCTGCATTGGGAAGTAGGAAGAACATGTTCAAATTGGAATGGAAACAAGGGAGGGAACAGTAGAAAGGGAAGAGGGATTTGAAAAGAAGAAAATGGAAGGAAAAATGTAAACAAAGCTTTTGTACATGGAGGTGAGAGAGAATGGGAAAAAGAGCAGAATTTAGATGGATTATGTACAGATACAAATTCCCTATGATGAATGTGATCACAATGTATGGAAAATATGTACTAATGAACAATAAATAAAGGGTAAGCTGAGATTAACTAAGATACTCTTCTAACTGTCCTGCAGGAAAGATTTGGGACCTAGGACACCATGGTTCAAGAGAAGCAGTAAGTTGGTGGATGGTTCTCTGATATTTTAGCTACTTAGCCAGGGTGGGTGGGAATGGACCCTCTGGACCTGCAGACTCTGGGCTGTTCTTCTCCATGCTTCCCAGAAGAAGTTGCCCTGAGTCTCCGACTCCATAATGTTGGGAATTCTTCAGGCTATTTGATTTGTGTCATTGTGAGAACCAAACGTCATTTTCTGCTGGTGGGATGTTTCTGCCTACAACACTGAGGCCTGAAGGCTCCCAGAGGGCTCCTCGGTGTTTTGGACATCACTAAAGATGGTCTTCCTCTCCTCTCTCCCTCTCTCTCCCTCTCTCTCTCGCTCTGTGTTGTGTGCACATATACACGTGTGTTGAGTTTCATACCCTACGTCTCTGAGTGGGGGCTTACATGCACCCCAGACCTGCAGCTGATGGCCCCAAATCCCAGCTGGCCCCACGGACAGATGCGGACTGCTGGAGGTGGCCTGTGGCTGGCCTCTGTGAGTGTAAGAAACACACTGGGCAGAAGAACTGAGAGAGGCATGGTGCGTAGAGACACAGCTGGGTAACATCCCCACCCATGCTTGCTCAGGTTACCTCGTGGACCACGGAGCTGGGGCAAGGAGGAAGTCATGACTTCTCCTTTTTTGCCAGACAGAGGATGTGAGTGTGTCCTTTAGCAACTGGATACAATGCAATGACCCCTCACAGGGTCGTTGTTACCACAGGCTTAAATGAGATAGGCTTTGGTACGGTTTTGACTACATGACAGCAGTGGTATATGGGAGCTACTGAAACAATACTGTATTTTTATTTTTTACTGCTCACTGTATTACTACTTTTTCTTCCTCCATCACAAACAGAAAGAAAAACCCTATAATGGTACCAACTCTACACAGGTAGAAAATGACATTTGATCCTTATGAAGACAGCAAGAGGGAAAGCAAGTAGCATAACTGTTCATATTTTAATTAAAGATAAATGACATCATCTTCAGGAAACTGGGGAAGGGTGGCAGGAAAGGGCTGGCCCAGGGAAGGGGTGGCACTGGGAGGGGTGGCCTGGAGCAGGAGGAAGAAGGGCAGAAACTCTGGGGCAACACTGCATTCACATTCTGGGGTACACTGGCTTCTGGGTATTACCTTATGTTATTTCATTGCTTCAAGCCTCAATCTTGTCATTTGCAAAAGAGGAATAAAAAGAATATTCCATTGGGTTGGCATAAGGAATAAGTAAATGCATGTAAAAAGCTCAGACTGCCGACTGGCACACAAGTACTGAAAGCTTTAGCAGAGGCAGCAACAGCTATTACTATGATCCCCACAACTGTGGCACAGGAGAAGCCACGGTGCAGAAGGACTGAGCTCCGAAGGCCCCAAAGTGACCTGAGCAGCACTCTAAGAGTAGCATCTGCCAAACTACCTAAGTATCTTGTAGCAAGAGTGGTGAAACCGAAGCTTCTCTGCCACCCTAACCCTGCAAAAAGCAGCCCTGCGAATGGGGACAGCTGTAACTCAGGAAGGCACCTGCTGAGGGCCAGGCCATAAAAGGAAGTTGTCACACAACACTGGAGGATGAGCAGCACTGGAAGCAAAAGACCCAAAACCAGGCCTGGAGCGAAAACCAAGGCCAGTGGCTGCAGCAGACTGTAGCAGTGGCTGCCCAGTACTAGTGGGCTATGAGTGGCACATGCGTCATGCCTCCCTTAATTCAGCTATATTGGTTTGTATGAGTCAGACCAAAGCTTTATGTGACTCAAGTGGGCCAGTCAGGTAGCAGAGTTGGGCTAGCTTTGCTCCTTTGCTAACGGCTGTTACCGAGGCCTAAGTCCTGATCTGTGAATGGGGCAGGGCTCTGCTCAGTTAAGTGCAGCTAAGGTCAGTGCGACCCCAATTAAAATTCTTTCCCCTTATTATAGTTTCCACTGACCCGATGGGTTGCATGCTAATTGTACCAGTCCCAGGACCAGTTTGTTCTATCCAAACAAGACAAGCAGTCCCTAACAGCCCTGCCTGGTGGCATCACACCAGGTGTTCTGCTCAGCAGTAATTCACTAGATGCCTTCAAGGCTCACCTGCTCCCTATTCCTTCCCACGGTTGTATTCAATAAATACTGGATGCGCTTGAGGGCCTCTGTCTTTGCTGCCATCAGTTGGGTCCCAAGACCCAGCTTCTTCATTCTACGTCTCGTTTCCTGTTTGTTCTTTAATTCGTCTTTTGCTGTAGTGGCTCAAAGGAGGCCAGAAACCACTGTAGAGGTTCTGGCAACATCCCCTTCCCCGTTCCCTATAAGTGGCATCAGCTTTTGGCAGGTGGAAAAAAGAAAGGAAGTTCAGGGCCAGGCAGCCTGCATGGTTCTGTTCTCTGGGCCACTCACCTGTGCAGCAGAGAGCCGCCAGGATGAGCAGGAGCCTGAGCAGGGTGACGCCTCCTTGACTTCTCATTGTGATATCCGCAGAGTCTGGAAGGAAGGGACAAGAAGGACTGTCATGATCAAAAAATGACTGCTTGGAAATCAAGACTTGAAGGCCCAAGGGGGCCCTAAGAAACACAAGGAAGGACCTCACAGCCCTATGGAGAACAAGAAACTTCCAGGGTGAGGGTGCCAATAGCCGAGGCACACGGTCAGGTGGACAGCGCTGGATGTCCGTGCTGGACCCTCCTCCTCCTGAGACCTTGGCTTCCTGAAGAAATGCTGCCCGACTGAGAGGGGCAGCTGCAGGGGAGCCAGAGCTCCCCGGGTTCAGCGGGAATACCTGTTCTACCTACAGTAGCCGCGAACCAAGATCAAACTCAGTCCCCACCAGCCCCAGTGTTCACGGCCCTGCAGTGGGAGGGACACTCTCTCTCCCACAAGGGTTGTGGAGTCCAATAGAATATATGTGAGGAAACAGTCCATGTGGTAACCTCAGTTCCCACCCTGCAGGCCCAGGCCATGCTTCTGGCTGAGCTGGAGGGGCACTTCTGTGGGCCTGGTCACTGAGGGAACTGAACCAAATGCTGCCCCTCAGGGGACCAGCAAGCTTTCAGCACCAGAACAGGAAGCTGAGGCTTGACAGGAGGACCAGCAAGTTCAGGTGTGGTAGGGACCCCTCCTTGTTCACCCTGGGGAAGGAAAGAGAAGTTCTGGGAATCAGTGGAGTGGTCCTCATTATACAAGAGACTAGATTTGTAACACTGGTTCCAGGTAAGGAAAGGAGGCTGAAATTCCTTGAAACTTCCTTTCACTCTGTAAAGAGGCTGAGGCACAGGCAGGTTTTGGATCCCCCTAGGTGCAAAGATTTGGTAGCAGTTCTAAGAAGTCTCCCAGCGAAACACAGTGGTGCACACCTGTAATCCCAGCACCCAGGAGGCTGAGGCAGGAGGACTGGTATAAGTTCACTATATAGCCTAGGCTATATAGTGAGTTAAAAACAAGCTTAAACTGCCAGCAAGACCCAGTCTGAAGAAAAAAAGAATCTCTCAACCTTGTAAGCCAGGCTGCTCTACATGCTACTTCCTAAGCCACACAGGGCAGGAGTTAGGGCTGGTGGACAGAAGGCACTCATCAGCCATCCCCTGTGTCTGGAATGCAGAGGTCCCTAAGGCTATCAGGTCATTTATTTGCCCCACGGGAATTGGCTATGAAGGCTATGAAGGCTTTTGGAATTTTCCAAAGGAAAAAACACACAGTCATGCTAGGGGAAGGTAGCCAGGAGAAACGGGGCCTGACTTTTCCTTACAAGTGACACTTGCCACTTCTCTCAGCACACTGCCAGCCTTCCACTGGGTTCCCCATTTTCATGGGTTCCCGGGTAGAGAGTATGATTTATAGACTTGGGTTAGACAGGGCTGGGGCCCACGAAAAAGCGCTGCAAGGAAGCAAGAAGAAGAAAGAGTATATTGATCTGAGGTTACAACAGGAACCAGCAAGGCAGGGTGTATCAGATACTTTTTTTTTTTTTGAGGGGGGAGCATTTAGAGTCAGAATCATGCTTGCTAGTTCAGACTGGCCTTGAACTCACCATGTAGTTAGCCCAGTGCTAGTATTATAGGCATGCCTATCACACCCAACCAACTGGGTATTTTTCTAAAAGTTAAGAACAGTTTAGGGCTGGGGATTTAGCTCAGTGGTTCTGCTGCCTGCCTCACAGGCACAAGGTCTGGAGTTCAATCCCAGGTACCAAAAAAAAAAAAAAAGTGAAGAACAGCTGCTATGACAGGCATCCCCATGAGAGGAAGAGGTTGAAGCCCCTTGACTGGGGTTAAGGGCTAGAAAGGGAGACCGCTCTTGAGGGTTGGTCCTTGACATACAAAGCACCACTTCACCAGGAACTGTCCTGAGATGAAGTGCATTGGGAAGACCTGGGCTAGAAAGACAGCCGGAAAGAAGCACTGAGCTCTTCAAGGACATAGCCTTTCCAGTCTAGTCTGGAGGCCTCTCGATGAGCCTTTGAATAGTTGTGGTCCTGCCACACTCTTGCTGTTTATCACCTCTCACCTCCATTCTTTATTCAGTAACCGTAGGGCAGCTGGGCACAGTGTCTGGACAAACAAGGCAGTTAAAAAGCAGCAGCCACCATGGGTATCACTGATGAGAGGTCACAATGTGACCCAGAAGGAAAAACAGGACAAGGAGGGGGTGTCAGGGAGTAAAAAGGGCTAGGAGAGAGGGCAGCGTTAGGTGAAGGAGCAAGAGCCCTTGGACTGGATGACAAGGGGAGATCTGGGGCTTCAAACTGAAGGCACCCCTCAGCTTTCTGAGTTGATGGGATGTACCAAGCTGTACCTTCAACTTCCTTATACTGGCTGGTAGTTGCTAAAGCTGCCTCCATGACAGGCTGCAGGAGGGCCAAGAGGGCAGAGAAAGGAAGCGACCGGTGTGGTGCTGATAAGGTTGGGCCGTTCAGATCAACACACTGGTAACCACTACTAGTATATGAGCTTCCAACGGCAATGTGTTGGGGGAAGAGGTACAGAAAAAGGGACAGCTGATTGTTTTAGAGCCAGTTTACAACTGTTCTGAAATGTTGATAATAATGTTAAACAGGTTTATTATGACTTTTTAATCATCAACTATTGCCACCATTCCTCCAAATATTCTATAATAACTCCCCCCAAAAATGACGTTCATATGGAGCACAGCAGTGCATGCCTGTAATCCCAGCACTTGGAAAGGCTGAGGCAATCCTACAATCTATTCTCTCCTGGGCTCAGATCTGAGTTGGAATTAATATTTTTAGCCAAAGTGCCACGTGTATGAACTGCTTCCGGCTTATCAGGATAGCGTAATTAACAGCTCTGGAGGCCAGGGAAAAATGCTGAAGGAACCAGGGCTGTTCTATTTGATAAAGTGTCCCAGAGTCAGTTACTGTCTTCAAATAAGGGAAGGGCAGTTGAGGAAGGGAGGCTGAGGTTATGTTAATTCCCAAAGGTAGAGTTAGGATCAATAAGGGAGGCATTTGGGATTTCCCAAACCAGTGATGGCGAACCTTTTAGAGCTTCCAATGAAAAACACAGCCCGCTATGGCAAAGGTGCCAAGGGTTCGCCACTACTGTCCTGACCATGGCTATTTTCCATCCCTTATCTGCCTTGCCACATCCTGGATGCAGTGCAAAGGGGAAAGCAAGTCCCCGATGATGTGTAAAAAGCTCCCCATCAGTTGGAAATGTTCAAACAGAGAGCAGAGGTCACAGATCAGAGGAACTGCACAAAATAGCGAGGGGAAAGAGCAAAAGATTGAAGTACTAAAGATACTCATTCTATACTGAAACCAATCTGACAATTATTATTCACGTCCAGCCACCTGAGATGCAAGGAGAGGCTAAAAACAGCAAGGTGATTTACAAACCTACAGGCGTCTCTTATCAAATTGCTAAAAATATTCTGAGAAGCTTTTAAGTGTTTGGGTATTTGGGTAGAAATCACAGTGTGAACCTATCTTCCATTGTTTTAAATAAGAAAACAAAGACAAAAACCTTAAGTCTCCCAAATATAAATAAAGAAATAGGTATATGCAACCCAGAGAAACTTGAGCAGCAAGCACTTACCACATGAAACAATTATTCAGTGACAGAGTGCTTAACGAATGCCCCGGTGGTGGATTTAGTCCTGAGAAGTAAGTTCACTGTCCACTCCTACTCCATCATCTCTCAAAGAGCAACTTCTGAGGCCACTGTGAGCAGGTGTGTGCCAGGCACCGGGCCACGGCGACTGCTGAACAGGGAAGGATCTCAGAGTTACTGGGGTGGACACCAACCAGTGCCAAAGAGAGGAAAAGGAGAATTACAACAGTGCTCTTCCATTTCACTGGGAACCTGAATCACCGGAGGCTGTGGAACACATCACCGACCCTATCCCACAGGCTCATTTCCCAGGTCTAACGCAGGGCCCAGAAAGTGCACTTGAGCGAGTTCCCAGCTGCTAGCCCTGCTGCTGGCCAGGGTCCACGCTGGGAACCACTGGCTTACAGTGACTCGCACAAGGGCCAGGCATAGGGTCGGAAGGGTCTCTCCAGCAGGGCTCTCAAAGCCAAAGCACCCGCTAGTGCTGATGAAAGAATGAGTTTCTTCTGCCCTTCAGCGCTCCTGTGATTACAGTGCGGCATGGACTGGCTTATCAATGCCAGCCACTAGGTGAGTCCTTGTTTCCAAGTTATCTTCTATTTAGTGAGCAAATATCACGGGTCAAGGGCTATGGTAGGCGCTCCTTACATATTAATGTACGAGCCAATCCTCACAATACCATAAAGTGAATGTATGTCTGCCTCCAAATATAAGAAGCAACTGAGGAGGGGGGACCTAGCTAGTTTACACATCTGCGGGGGGCACGATAATGCCTCTCACGCCCAGTGACAGCCGCATCCTAACTCCAGGAACCTCGGAATATAGTCGTCCTCGTGTGGCGAGCGACCTCCACGGGGGATTGCGATTACAGAGATGATCCTGAGTATGGAACAGACCCCGCGTGACCACCGGCTCATTCAAAGAGGGACCGGAAAGCAGCAGAATCTGCCAGAAAGATGCGACAACAGAAAAAGAGGCAAAATCTGAAAGGTGATAGGAGCTCAACTCACTCTTGGTGACTTTGGAGACAAGGATTTCTCGAGCCAAGGCACACAGGTGGGCTCTAGAAGCTAAGAGTAGTCCTCACCCAACACCTGAAAGAAAACCAGACCTCATCTCCCAGTCACAGGGCTGCATTCTGCCAATAACCCGGATGAGCAAGGACACGGACCCGCTCCGTCCCGGAGAAGACCTCAGCCTGCCTCCCCGATTGTTCACCCAGTGCCACCGTGTCAGACTCTGGATGGATGACAGAACAGTCATTCTGTGTTGTTCTAAGCTGCTAAACTTGTGACTGGTTTCTGCAGCAATAAAAAATAAGCTGGGCCTGGTGACCTGGGCCTGTGGTCCCAGTTATTTTAGAGGGTGAGGCAGGAGGATCACTTGAACTCATAAATCCAGACCTGCCTGGGCACCATCCTGAGACCCCCAACTCAAAACAACAAAAAGCTAATATGCAACCTCATCACTGGAAAGCAGTGACACAGCATTTAAATTCAGGTCTGAGAGCTGAACCATAAATTCCCCAGGGGGCAAACTTCTTGTCAATTTAGCCTCCAAAATACATTCACCTGAAGAGGCTGAAAAGCAAAAGATTTCCCTCCTACACCTGCGTATGTGTGCGTGTGTTGCTGAGGACAGAACCCAGGGGCATGAACAGCGCTAACACTGCCTTCCTGCGAAGAAATTTTAAGATCAACCGAGTTTTCATGGGATTCACCAAAATAGTCACTGCTCCAATGACCTGGGGCTGATGAACTTCAAGGCTAGACAGAACCTCAAAAATAAAACCCACTGTTTTCATTTTATAAGAAGTAAATGGAGGCCCAAGGGGACGAAATTACCTGTCCCAAGGCAAGAGGACTGTTGTAAAAGGTCTATGTTATTTCTATCCATCAGGGGCTGGTAGTTCCCAAGTGTGTTGTATGGCCCCTTGCCAGCAATGTCAGCGATGTGGATGGAGTTTAAGTCTTTCAGCCCTTGGACACAATCCTGTCCAGACAGCCACATATTAGTCACTCATTCAAAGCAGTAATTACTGATGCCCGGAGACAAAGAGCAAACCACCATCACAATGGAAGAGCCCCTCCCTACCCCTCAAATTTCTGCTGCTAAGGACAACCACCCCAGACACTTTGAGAGCTCACATATCTGCCCTTTGCCTACGAGGGCCTCTCCAATCTATTCCCAGACACTAAACCCAGCCTCTTACTGGGCTTTTATCTCCGGAACCACTCAGTCTCCTGTGAAGTTTCCTTTCCAAACCATTAAGCATCATGGTATGTTTTCCTTAGCGGAAAGTCTTGCAAAATTTCCACTTTCTACTGTGAACGTGTATGTCACAAGTCACTGGTATATTGTGTGTCACAAAAAACTCCTTGTTCCTGCCAATGATAAATTACCCACACACAGTAACCACCTCCCTCCACTGACATCCCCAGGTCTGTGTGCCTTCTTGGAACTGTGAGTAAATTACCCACAATGGGGAACCAAACAGAGGGAACACGGGGGACCTGAAAAAAAATCATCTGTCGTCCCTAGTACCAGGTTCCACGAGGTGCCATTCCCTGGATGATCCATCTCCTTTAGTTCTTACGACCTGCCTAGGAAGTAAGGCCAGGCATTTCACAGATGAGAAAATGAGGTCAAACAGCTCGCGGCAATTAAATGACAATAAAAGGCACTATCTAACGATTAAAATCAATGGCCCCGACTCTCCGGAGAGCGAGGTCCAATCTCAAGGAGGAGAACAAAGCTGTCAGCTAGTAAAATTCCACGGGAAATTCTCGGGAAAAGAAAGGTTGAGACCACATGAAGACTGGTCTTAACCCCTTCCCTTCAGATGTGATTTCTTCCTTTAAACTGCAGGAGCTGCAGGCGAGGGTAGATGGTCGGGGGGAGGCCCCAGGATGCTGGTATTTTGGGGAGAGACCGCTCCCTGCCCCACTTAGTGACCAACACTTCCCACCCGCATCCGGTCCTCCGGTCCCCGCGGACTGGGAGCCTGGGGCTTAGCCGGCCAGGAACCGCTTGCCCCATCGCAGACACCCGGCGAGGTTGCCCGGCGAGGAGGGGGAGACGCTGCAGACCCGGAGACGCTGCAGACCCCGGGCCGCCATACCCGCGCCTGCGCCTTCAGCTTCACCCCACCCTCACCCCCCACTCCCACCCCACGACTGCGTTCGCTTCGGGCCTCGGACCTCACCTGGGCGCGCGGGGTTCGGCTCCAGCGGGGCCTGCGTCTTCTTAGGCCTAGCGGTCTCCGGTTTCCTTCACCGGACCGGAGCCGGCTGGTCTCGGCCACGCCCAAGGTCAACCCCTTTCCTCCCTGCGGCAGAGGCCTGCGCCGGTTCCTGGGCGGAGACTCGTCTCCGAGTAACTTCCCGCCGCAGCTTGGCAGTGTCTTGAGCCGGATTCTGTTTTGCGTTCACAAGCTGTTTTGAGCTTGAGATAGAACACAAGTGGTTTATACCTTGGCAGAATCACCTCTTTACTTCCAGCCCGAGATGGCTGCAGATGTTCTACACACGTCTCTACTCCAAACGCGTTTCCTACAATCCACCTGGAAACCAGTTTTTATTTCCTCCCCTCACACAGGTGTACTCAAGTCGCACCTGCTTTACCTTTTAAATACCTCAGTTTCCCCTCCTCTTCATTCTGCCCGTTGTTACTGCCAAATTCAGGCCTGTAGCTTGTCTGGGTCGTTCGGGTTCCTTTGTATCAGGTCCCTGTGCTGCTTGTGTTGATTCCTGCATCCCTGGTTTCATCTCCCCTTATCCTCCACGTGACCTCTGCAGGCCCAAATTTGACTTTGCCCTTTTCTCACCTTGCTTCCTTGAGTGCAGTGCCTGTAGTTGCCAGTTTGCAAGGGGATCCCTTTCAGAGGAAAGTTTTGGGCTAGGATGACAACGGAAAAGGGCACACATCGGGAACACTGATGACACCATTGTGCCGTGGTGTCAGTCCTGGTTACCTCTGCCTTGTCACAAGAGAATAACCCCTTCTCTTAGTCACATTCCTGGCTGGGACACAATACGTGGCACCCACAATTCAAAGGAGGATAGATTCGTAGAAGTTTCAGCCCACAACTGGCTGGCTCCAAGGCAGGACACTTATGGCAGAGGGATAGGGCAGAGGAGCTGCTCCAGGTATGACAGACAGGAAGCAGACATCAAGGGAGAAGGGAGGGAGATAGGCCTCCCCCTTCAGACGAGACTCCACCTATTGGCAAGGCAGCTGTAAGCCCCCACAGGATCGGATCACTTTCCAAAGACCTGCCTTTGAGCCCCCGAGGCTTGTGGGGGACACGTAGAGATAAATTATAACACCCCTGATCAGGCTAGGCATGGTGGTGAATACCTGTAATCCTAGCTCCTGGGAGGCTGAGGCAGGAGGATTTTAGGCCAGCTGAGTTACATAGTGAATTCAAGGCTGGCCTGAGATACATAGCGAGACCTTGTCTCAAAAACCCCCAAAACACTATCTAAGACACCTCTAATTTAGTTATCTGTCTTACCCTCAGGTTTAGATGAAAAAGGGAAACATAGGCAGTTCTCAAGAGGTTTGAGAGCCAAAAAAGGCCTTTGTTCCAGCACAAGTTAAATCTGCTTTGAGCAATGTTAACGCTGTTTAAATTTGTTCTGTATATGAATAAGCATTTGTCCCATGAAATTAAACACAAAGGATTAGCAACCAACAAGACTATGAACCAATGGTCAGTCGTTCCACGTACCCAAGACACTGCATTTTGATAGAACAAGCAGCACGCATTCCTAAGGATACAAGGATAAGATGGGGTGACTTGGGAGTACTCTAGAAACAGGAAGTCATCCATAAAAAAGGATGCAAAGAATGACAAAGGCTCTGGAGCCAGCTTTAATTAACATGAACTATAAATTTCACTTTCTTAAATAACTGGGTGATACGGGGGTCTGAACGTGTGCTTCTCCCACTTTTTCTTACTGAAAAAGACTCTACAGTTTAAGAACTGTCCAGTAAGACACATTGCTGTTTTTACCAACCTCGCCCACCCAGCTTTGAATATACCTGTCCCATCATTCTTGCTATTTTCTTAAGCAGCTCTTGATGTCTTCTCTCCCAAGCGTCTTTATGAGATGTGATCAAAAGTACAGTGAATGAAGCTGCCGAGGGCCTTTTAGTAGAAAGGCAGGCACATAAAAACAGCAGTGCCCTCACACACCTTACTCACTCGATCTACTGCGATGCAACTTCTGCCTCCTCCCTAAAGTCAAAGGACCATGAAATGCAATCGTTTTGAATGAATTCAGGACCTCGACAGATATGACAGAGCAACTAAAGACACTCATGAAAGAGTGCCCAGAACTGCTTCAGAAAGTGGCAAGAAATGGGTTGTTCAGTCAGAGAACAGAGTTTCTGAGAGGGATTAATGGCAATGTACCTTTTATAGTAATACATTTTTATTTCAATACACATTGCATTTCTTGATCACGCCTTGAATGTCAAAACCAAATCCAAAAGCAAGAGCATAAGAGATTGACTTTTAGGCGGTTACTGGATCTTGAGCAGTTGGCCCTCATGAATAGGATTAGTGCCCTTGGAAAGGAGACCACAGAGAGCTCATTTGCCCCTTCCACCATGTGAGGGCACAGCAAGAAGGCTCCATCTTTGAAGAACAGTGTAGACACCAGGCTCTGTATCTGCTGGTGCCTTGATCTTGGACTTTCCATTCTCTAGAACTGTGAGCAATTTATTTTACTATGGCAGCCTAAATGGAGAAGCCAGTTGACTGAGGGAAGACAAAGAACCTAACAGGATTTGGAAGCCTGATAATGCACCAATGGCTGACTTTGAGGAGGGGAAACACTCTGAGACAGGCCATCAGGTGACTGTACTGTCAGGTGATCTCACTCCTGTGCAAACATCAGGGTATTTCTACAAACCTCAGGGGGATTAAGGACTTGCTTTGGCAATCATTTCCCTACACAAATCTTATCTTCCTTCCCAAAGTTCTTCGGGTGTCTTTACATCAGCACTCAGACTCAATGCTTACTCTCACATTGTTTTGAATCATTCCTGAATCGTATGAACCCAAGTGAGCAGTAAATTCAATATTCTAATCTCTTCCAGCCTTTCCTTCAACACTCCAAGTAAACTCTTTGTGTTAGTCATCATCTTCATGATGAAGGTGTACTTCAGTGTCTAGTTGTCTATTTGGGTCATGAGAAATTTCTCCATGTCTGGTAAGGATTCTTCTTGAAGTTTCAATGCTTTCAATGAAGCAGATCCGTTACCAGCTTCTGTCACTTTATTCCTTAAGATTGTAGCTGTGGTGGAAATGACTGGTGAGCAGTAACCATCAGTGATTTGCCAGCTTCATGGTCCTTCATCACTTAATTTCATTGCCAGGTGAATCACTTGATGTAGCCTCTTCCTGGCAGTACTAGCACTGGAGTTTGTATGTTTATGCGCCGTGATGGATAAAATTATAGGAGACTAAAGCAAGCCCAAGAGAAAATGATACATTTGAGACATGTGGTAACACGCAGTGTACCAGGCTGCTGCTGGCCACTGTGGTATCCATGTTCTGTTGGTGGTTGAAACATCACTCTGCAGTGTATGTCTGTATGCAGTGTATCGCATGAAAACAAACAGGAAGATGACGATTTCAGAACATTTGGACATGCAGCAATAGGTAAGTGTGCCTTATGGTCTCCCATGGCAGATGCCTAACCTTGAAGACCACTCCCTCTCCCTTCTGCGCTATGAAAGAACGGTTCTGGGGAAAAGAGTAGGTGGTGCAGAGCTGAGGCTACCGTCAAAGTCAGGATATGATCATGATGGGCCTGCTGTGCTCTGGCTTCTCAACAATGAGTACCAATCCCATTTACCATCTTAAGAACACAAGCCTCTTAATATTTACTTATCGCTGCCGGGGATTTAGCTCAGTGGTTCTGCCACCTGCCTTGCAAGCACAAGGTCCTGAGTTCAATTTCTGGTACAAAAAAAAAATATATATATATATACACACACACACACACACACATATATATATATTTCAGGTAAACATCCTTAAGCCCAACATAGGATTCATGTCACTTATCACAAAGTTAGACAATCAAGTGTATAAAGGAGAAACAAAACAGAAGCAGTATTTACAAGTTCAGACTACATGAGACACTGTGAAGAATCTTTTGTTAATAAACACCACGTTACATACTTGTATACACTACATTTCAAAAATAAGAATGCGACTGTAAATAATCTGATAAAGGGCATAGCGTGAAGATTTTAACTTCTATTCAAAGTCATGATGTAAAACACTTTGAATTCAAGGTTGCAATGATGGAAACTCTAAATTCAAGGTCTAAATGATAGTCTTTAAATTCTAGGATAGATTGTGAAACAGCATAAACCATTAGTATTCAAGTTATTTAGTCAGTTCCCTGTGAGTACAAAAATATTAGGAATCACTAAACAGATTAGCCTATGACTAACAACTATAAGAAGTCTTTCCATAGATCACTTGGCACACATTTTGTCTACCTATGTGTAGGTGTTTCTGCTACATTTTATGTCTTTATTCAAAACAATTTTCTCCCAATTTCTGTATTTTTAAGTAGTATTTTAAAACAAAGAGATATCTTTTCCTTGGCCAGTAAATAATTTCTGCACTGACTCCTGGAAGAAGGAAAAAGACAAAAAAGAAAAGATTCCTGCTTCCTCCTGTACCTCAAAGCCACAAAGCAAACCGAACAAATTCAACTCCTAATGTAGTGTCGCCCAGGGCCCCGGGCCAGAGACAATATTTCATGCTAGTCCCCTGCTATATGCTGAGCACAGTGTAGTTATTTACATTACGAAATCTCTTTAACAAGCTGAGTCATCCCAGTGCTTCCCTCAGCAGTAGCCTGGCTAAAGCAGACGAGAGCAGCGGCGTCTGCGAATAGGAACATCGAAGACTCTTCTCCGCCTCTCCTCCTCCTCCTCTTTATCCGATTCGTCCATGTCTGCCGAATCATCATCGTCGTCTTCCTCCTCCTCCTCCTCTTCTTCCTCTTCCATCTCTTCGTACTCATCAGGACCCATCTCCTTGAAAGAGAAAACAATCTTTTGATAATAACGTCCAATGGGTTTTATAGTAATTTAAGGCAAGTTTTCATTGATCTAGAACACCAACAACCAGACAAGCCGTCTGTCAGTTTTCATGGATTTCAATAGTGCAGTTTCATACTGCGTGTGCTGCTCTCGAATGCATACTGTATCACACATTGAATAATGCTCAGTACACTTCTAATGGTAAACCTCTTTCATCACGACTGTACTCAGTTGGTTTTGTGTTTTTTTTTTTTTTTTTTTTTTTTTTTTTTTTTAAC